CCTGAAATTTTTTTCTTGGAAACTGCAAAACCGATTCTTTTTGCATATGCAGTTAAAAACAACTAGCTTGTTAAAAGGCCTGCCAAAAAGCTTGACCTTAACCCTTTCCATGTCCTTGTTGCCTGAGACCTCAGCCTTGGGCAAATTCAGTTCAGTTCATTTCAGTTCAGTAGCTCAGTCGTGTCTGACTCTGCGACCCCATGGACTGCAGCACGCCAGGTTTCCCTGTCCATCACCAACTCCTGGAGCCTACTCAAACTCATGTCCATCACATCAGTGATGCCATCCAACCATCTCATCCTCTGTNCCCGGTCCCTGACAAACCTCATTTATTGATGGGTTAAAGCCTTCCCTGGCTACAGGGTTAATATGAAAAAATTATGTGTCACTGAATACTAAGTTTTGTTAATTTTTAAACTAAGTTTCTAGTTTTGTTAATTAAGGTCTAGTGTTTACTAAGACTCACTTCTGAGATAGTTCCTTGTTGTTATGGTATATTGCTAAAAGATTTAACTAAGTTATTAAAAAGAACACTCTATGTTTATTTCGAAAGCTTATCTCAATAAGCAATCTTCAGATAAAGATCAGATGCTCCATGATGTACAACCAGGAGATTAACACCTGGCTATAATCATTTAACTAAGTCAGATGACCAGGGGTATACTGGGCCTAGACCTAAGGAAAGTTCTTGACTTAAATTCTTGCTTGTGACCTTACTAATAACTGCTAGCTGTATTATTTTCTATGTTGCTTGTTTCAGAAGATTGTTTCTTACATTACAAAATGTGTGACTGAGCCTGTGATAACATGCTGATATCCAGTTCCATATGAGATCAATGATTATAATAATGTAACTCTAGATACGGGAAGAAGCAACAAGAAGGGATATTTTCCTGGACCAAGAGGCTAGTAAGACAGGTATGGTCCAGAGACTTTTGGTACTCGCAAGGCCTGTTCCAATAACAGCACAGTGAGTGGCCTATCAATGGAATCTTCCCTAGACCTGAGAATGAGCCTTCCCAGCACCACAGATTAAATGGCCATGAAATCCCCCCAAAACATGCTCAAATGTGTGGCTATCAAGGGACCCTGCTGACGAAGCTGGCACTTGCCAGCTGCCTCTACAAAGGTCATGATGTAATCGTGACCACTGCAAGCTGCTGACCTCCAACACCCCCTGAATGGAGTTCAGGGTGGAGATCAGAAATAAGGCACTCTGTACTCTGGAATAAAACCAGAAGAACCGGCCTTCAGATAGATATTTTCAGATAAAGATTTTATAAGCCCAAATTCTTGCATCTTCTCATACCTAGAGAAACACTAATGTCACGAACCATTGTCTGGTACTGGTTCTCCTGGCTAGCCTCTGAGCAGCTTTCTACTTCTATTAATCTTTGGGCCACATACCTTTAACTTTGTTATTAAGTTTGTTTCTTCTAGAATACAACAAATCCCCAAGTGGTAGTATGACAAGAATATTCCCTGACCAACACCCAGACAATGCTGAAACAAGTCCACCTTATCATTCCATAGACTCTCATCTCTCTGCATAAATGCACCTGGACAGAGACCAGGCGAAGGGAACCCAGAGCCCACAACGCCCCTCTACAGCCTGAAGAAGCCAGTGTGGTCATCGCCCCTTTTCCTTTGAGACTGGGTTCCCAAATGCCTGAGAAGGGAGATAAGTAGATAATTAGACTTGAGCAGGGTATCAAAAGGGGCCAAAGAATTGGCCCTAAGAATAGAGAGGGAGAAATGTGGTGTCCCAAGGACGAAAGAGCAGATAAAACCAAGTAGGGTCTTGGAATGCAGGAATGGGAAACCAGACCCTTATCATCCTTCCCTCCCCATGTTGTAACTATTAATGGAACAGTGTAACCTGTCTCCCCTCTTACCCCATAGGGAGAAGGTATTTGCCCTACTCTTCCCCTACCCAGTATACGTGCCTCATCCAATCAGCAAATGACCACAAGACCCCTGCCTCACTCCTTGTATGCTGCGTGTAAAAGTCTAAGGTCTGGGTATAAAAGGTCTAAGGACCTTTGTTCAACATTGGTTCTACCTTGAGCTGGCCCATTGTTCTAACAGCATCTCCCACTGTAATAAACTTTATTTCCCTCTCATTCTGTCTCATGTCTGGAAATTCTTTTCCAACCCGTGCCCGGACCACAACAATTGTGTCATCCATAAAGAAAGTGAAAGTGTTAGTCACTCAGTTGTGTCTGACTCTTTGGAGCCTCATGGACTGTAGCCTGCCAGCCTCCTCTGTCTCCATGGAATTCTCCAGGCAAGAATACTGGAGTGGGTAGCCATTCCCTTCTCCAGATGATCTTCCTAACCCAGGGATTGAACCCAGGTCTCCTGCATTGCAGGCAGATTCTTTACCATCTGAGCCACCAGGGAAGCCCCATCCATAAAATACCCCCCAAATTTTGTGACCTCAAACAAGAATAGTTTTTTCCTACACAGTGTCCACAATTCAGGAATCTGCCTGGGCCCTCTGACTCTCAGTCTCTCACAGGCTGCAGTGCTTTCTAGCAATTGACATGGATGTTGACATGATTCAGATCCTTACAAGTTACTGGACCGAGGCCTCAGCTCCTTGTGACCTGTTGACTGGGGGATCCATGGGTTCCTTGACTCAGAACAAGACAGCTTGCTTCATCTGAGAGGAACTCAACAGTCTCTGGTAACCTAACCACGGAAGTGGCCAGCCATCATCATGGCTGTATTTTGTTGATTAGAGTAAGACACTAGGTTCAGTCCACAGTCTAGGGTAGGGGATTACGTACTAGGAAGTGCGCTGACTGGGGATTAAGCTTCTTCTCTCATAGCCTGTGGGTACCTTTGGGGAGGTGGGAGCCAGGGGCTGGATGGAAGACTGCTTCTCGGCTCTCAGTCTAATGTCCCTGCCTCTCATGGTGTGGGCATCTTAACACCACGACTGCTTCTAAGACTGGAAGAGAGGTGTGTTTGAAATAACCCGGCTCTTAAATGCCATTTGAAAGTCAACTCCCTCATCTGATCTTCAACTGGAGAAAAAATGGTATATTTTAATGCTGGAAGGAGAAGTCTGTGTTGGATTTACTAAGTAAAGTTGATAGAACTCACTAACACAGTGCATTCTTAAAGAGATTGCAAATGTAATCGCCACTAAGCAATTTGGGGTTTATATTCTGAGTTTAATTTTTGACCGCCTTTAAGATAAGAGTCCACTGCATTTTCAGATGAAACACCCATGAAACTTTGCTTCATTTTGTTCACTTACCTTTCTTTTGGTTGGGAGCTACTTAACAGCTTGGTCTGTGTCTACTTTATTTCTAACACCAGCACTTTCGCTGGCACTTAGGCTCTCAAAAATATGTACTAACATGAAATATTTTTGTGTTTAATACATCCTGTACCAAATTAGCTAAACATTGGTAGCATTTTCATAGTTGAGAATTCTACAGATCTTTTTCTGGCATAAATGCTTAAAAAGAGTGACCTGGATCCATGATACCTGTAATTTCTGTGTTATTTTGCTAGTTCATTAGAGCATTAGCAGTTTTGCCCTTGAATCAAAGTTCTCTACTTTTCTCTCCACAGTTGCCAAATATTTTGTCCTTTGGAGTCAAGGGAATTGCCCTGATTTTATGATGACATTTGGGTACGATATTTGAACTGTTAAAAAGTTATAAAAACGACCCTTTGGTATTAAATGTAATAAATGGCTCTGAATTGAATGCATGCACAGGTTCTCTTATATGAGCTTTGTGAGCCCAAACCGCTCCAGTTACATATTCTCATTGTAATTGGACTCTATGACATTCTCTCATCCCCCAAGAGTATGCCAAGCCATGAAAATTCCTCCTGGCTTCGTGTTGATGTATACTTTGGGTCTTTTGAAGTTTTGGATTTCATCTGTAACTAGCATATGGGACTCATAGTACTGTTGGTCCTCCCAATCCTGAAGAGGCAGAGGTGTGTCTGCAAGAAAACAAAACAAAACATTTCATTCCTAAGAGATTTATTGCAACTCTCAAAGAGAAGGGAGGGTGGAATGACTTGTCCTTATTCAGCCTCATCTTTCTCAAGAATATTGTCTTAACTCATGGCTATTCTGTACTGGGTTCGTTTGTCCTGACATGTATTTTTCTTTGTAATTCTACAGTATTGTGCTTGCATGTCTTCAGTTAGACTGTGAACTCGACATCAGAGGTTATCATCTTCTTTTTTCCTTCTGTTTTGAGGTCTTTGATCTATTTTCCTGATCTCTTTTCCTGTTTTATACGCACTCTCACACCACTCTGGCAAGAGGAACGTGCATGTAGAAGACTAGTCTAGATTCATGGTTGATGCGTTAGAGTTGGGGCTTCCCAGATGGCGCTAGTGGTAAAGAATCTGCCTGGCAATGCAGGGAGTGCCAGAGACGTGGGTTCAATCCCTGGCTCAGGAAATCCCCTGGAGGAGGGCAATGGCAATCCATTTCAGGATTCTTGCCTGGAGAATCCCATGGACAGAGGAACCTGGTGGGCTACAGTTTATAGGGTCACAAAAAGTCAGACGTGACTGAAGTAACTTAACACATGTGCATTAGAGTTGACTGAAGTCGAGAGGCTGGCACATGTCTGGACTCTTGTAGTGAGGAGTTAGTCAGTTCCAGAAGGCATCGTGATAATACTGAGTTAGCTCTACATGGATAAAGATGGACGCCAGTCTTCCCTTCAACCGTAGAAACACACCAGAGTATATTACTGCCTTGAAATTGCACTGTAATATTTTCTAGTTGTGATTCATTCACAGTTTAATATGCTTCTAGTTCTGGTTTGACTTTTCCCCCAGGAAGAGACTAAAATCTCTTCATTATAATATAGACAGTGTACTGCACTTTGAATACAAATTTATCCATGTTCAGAGTAATTTTTCTTGTGATTGTCTCTACCCTGGAGAAGTGCCTTTAATGAATTACATACAAATTGTGTAATTTAAGAAGTTAATTTGGTTTTCTGGTTACACAGGACTAAAAACAGCCCTTGTTGAAAGAGATGATTTCTCATCGGGGACCAGCAGCAGAAGCACTAAATTGATCCATGGTGGTGTGAGATATCTTCAGAAGGCTATCATGAAGTTGGATATTGAGCAGGTAATTGTGTATGCTGGTTGTTAAACAAAAATTGTTACTATGCTTTTTTTCTACCCAATTAAATCAGTTTTTTGTTTTTTTTTTTTCTTTTAATGGCCTTTAACATTTCTTCCTATTGGAAATACCTATTTAGTGTCTTCTGCTGGAGTGTCTTTCAGGAGAGGCGTGTCAGGTTTTTGTTGTTGTTTTTTCCTGTAGCAACATGTTCATGAGTAACCAGGGTCCTGTTCTACACAGACATGTCACAGTAGCAGATTTACAAGGTCACTTTTGGATGTGTCACCTTTTAACAGTTGTGATTGTTTTTTGCTTTGTTTTTCTGACCGCTGGTCACCCAATTGCTACTTCCCAAGCGGGTTCAGGGGAGCTCTGTTGTAATACATGAGGAGTATTAGACTGATCTTAACTGCAAATGCAGTCACACTGCATATTGTCACTGACATATTCTGAAGAAAAAGATGATCTGAGTCATGGTTTTTTTTTTTATGTCACACTTTGTTGTGTCCAGTCTGCCACCATTTGAAAACTGCCAAGGCAGTGTGGAAGATGACATTTCCCAGAGGGGGTAAAAAAAAAAATCAGCTGAACTCCCTCTCTGCTTCTCGTCCATGAAAAACACAGCAGCACTGACTTGACATTGTCAGTTTTAACTCTGTCCCTTTTCTTACATGTCTGTTTAGGACCATGATGGACGTAAAGAAAAGAGCATAGGGTTTAGAATCGGATGGCTTGTGATGTGCTATAACTTATTTATTCAGTTTCTATAAGCCTCAGTTTTCTCATTTGTAAAAATTAGTATTAGGATAGTAATGCTGGGTCTTCAGAGAGGGATAATGAAGACTAAAGACAAAAGCTTTTTCATGATCATTTATAAAATACCATGCAACTCCTAAGTACTATGTCTCTTTGGGCTAGTGGAGGCAAGAAGAAAACGTTTAACATGAATTTGAACAATCTGTTATCTCTTACATGAGAAAATATTATGGGGGACTGAGAAAAGGGACAATACAGACAATGCAAGATAAATTGTTACAATAATCTTGTAACTCAAGTCAGGAAAATATCTTACACCTGGGAACTCTGGCAGCATGTTTTTCTCCTATGCAAATACAGTTAAGGTTTCTAAAAAATCTTTCAGGTTGACAGCATGATGTATTATTAGAAATTTGATTAGGAGGGAGCCATCTTCACTCAGAGGTAGAGAGGTTTCTGTGTATCAATCAGTTGGCAGGGTGTCTATTTGCCATTTGAAAATATTATGATCTGTTACTGCCAAACTAATTTTCTCTGTTTTGCTTTTCAGTACAGGATGGTAAAAGAAGCCCTTCATGAGCGTGCCAACCTGCTGGAAATTGCTCCCCATTTATCAGCCCCGTTGCCCATTATGCTTCCAATTTACAAGTAAGCCTTTTGGTACCATCAGTATACTCTTTGCTTATCTGAGGCCAATAGAACAACCCAGTTTTAATGGCAGAAGTTCCTCAATGTGTATTTCTTAAAGTAGTTGTAATTAGTCCTAATCTTTAATCCTTTTAAAATATTTTCCTTTGTTGTATTTTAAAAAGTGTGACTTTTCCTAAATTGCTCTCTGCCAACTCACCTCTGAGGGCTAGATCTTGAAGGCAAAGTGGCTTGTGTTCTGCTTTTATAATTAGTCCTTTTAAACTCCAGTTTCTGAGAGTACATAGAGGAACAACTGCATTTGCACTGGGAAATATAAGAGGGTCATTTGCAGGCTAAAATGCAGAGCCAGGATGTATCCTGCTGCGAAATCTGAACTGACATATATCAACTCCAAACCCTAAGCCATTTTGTGTCATTTTAAATTTCTGAGTTAACCAAACCTGAAATTTGGTTTGTAGGTGTCAGATAATCGTAAATTATTAAACCCAATTTTCTGAATATTGTTAGAGCTATCCATCAAGTTGACTTAAACTGGAATACAGATAATAGTAAATACAGGATTATGTAGCTCTGTTAGCTGCATGAGTGTTTTGTGGAGTCTAGAAACAGATTTTATAATTTTTGTCCATATTTTGTCATAGATGGCTTGAGACACCTTAAGCCAATGAGTCTCTACCCTGGGTGTACATTAGAGTCACTCTGGTCTTTGCCCTAGTCTAGTTCACTTGATCTCTAGGAACACAAGATCCAGGCAGTTATGTTTATTTTTGATGCTCCTTAGAAAGTCTAATATGCAGTCAGGTCCAGAACCACTGCCTTTGAGATGATTCGTTTATGTGTGTAATTCAGCTGAGCTGATCTCAGAACAGGAAGGCACTTCTCTTGTTTCTTATGCAGTACACTTGTAGATATACTTTGCTTTTCTTAATAAAAAGTGTCTTATAAATGACATTCTATAATGTTATACTCTGTTTATAAAGAAACCTTTTCCCCTCTTTATGCTGTAGGTGGTGGCAGTTACCATACTACTGGATAGGAATCAAGCTATATGATCTGGTTGCTGGAAGTAATTGCCTGAAAAGCAGTTATGTCCTCAGCAAATCAAGAGCCCTTGAGCATTTCCCAATGCTCCAGAAGGACAAACTAGTAGGAGCAATTGTCTACTATGATGGTACGTGATTTTTGTTTTTTCAGGATACTTTTCTCTCACTCCTGACCCTTACAGTGTATTCTTAATGAGATAGTTTTGCATACTAATTAATGCTAATATTACACAACACACAAACACACATGTGCACTCTGCACGTAGTGTTTTGCTTTTAATATCGCTCGATCTTGAATATTCCTTCGACTTTGAATCTCATGGTTGGCTTGGTCCGTTTTCCATCATTGTGCATTTTGGGCCCCACCTTCATGCCATTTAATTTGTTATATGTTTGCCAGTGAACGCTTGCCTTATGAATATATTATAATGTTGAAAGCAGCTGAGGATCTGTTAGGTTTTCTAGATGAAACCTCTATTTTCAAGGGGTTATAAGCCTAGGGAAAAATGCCTCTGGGCTGAAATGGACATGTTCATATTTTGCACAGGACACAATTCTCGAACATATAATTTGTGTGATGAAGGTAGATGAACATTGCATCTGTTAAACCAGTCCGTTCTTGTTTTTTTTTTTTCTTCAGTCCCTCAGTTTTTAATGCTTCTTTTATTGTTATTAGATGTTTTCTAACAGTGACATTATCTAGTACCCATTTGCCTTGTGTTCAGTGTTCATTCATTGTGTTTGTGTATGTGTTAACAATAGAGTTTTGTACACTTTTATTTGAAGGAACTAACCACTTAACATAGCTCCAGATGAACCACAATACAACACACATCACAGGAAAAGCTGTTTGTGAAATTTTACTGTGGTTTTTAAGGGAGAATGGAAATGGAAAATAGTCCAGGAATTTCTGTTTATAAATAAATAGCTGGACACAGATAACTGTGCACATTCAAAAAGTCTTAGAAATTTTGTGGCACAAAGGACAGCTTAGGCCCTATAGCGAAGTGAGTTGTTAAAATCCCACTATGTGATCTTACATATTTAGTGTTAGATATCTAAACTCTTCGTATGAGGAAATGTTTTGTGTTTTTCTTTTTTCAGGAGACTTTGATATTTATACTTCATAATACGGGATATCTTTTAGGCTACCCGCTTTGTTTCTCCTCAGCGTTAGGTTTCTGAATCAGTTTAGCTATCTGTCAGGCTTTCATGTATGAATGCAAAATGTATACATGCAGATGGGGTAATGGGGACAAACTCAAGAAAATATGTTAGGAGTAACAATATTAGACAAATGTTAAGGGTCTTTGACAAACGTTAAAAGCCAGAAAATGCACAGTTTACAGTGCTTTGCAGCATCTAAACACCACAGGGGGGCACTTAACTACTTTTTTGGTGCCCCTCATTGAATCTCATGTTAAAGGACAATCTTAACTGAATTTTCTTTCCCTTCTTCAAACTCTTAACGTTAATCCATTGTAGTTTGTTGGGTGATTACATTAAAGAGGTTTTTGGTGCAGGAGGAATCAGAAGGCATTCTGCAAATGGACCTCTGCCTATCCTTCCATGGAAGTGTTTGTGCCCTTTGCCTCTTAATTTTAATCCCTCCCATGCAAACTCTCTCAAGTACTTGGCCATTTTTTTTACCATGTGATCTATTGAACACAAATGACTTTTATTTATTGTTTTTATTTTTTAGCTTGTGCGTATCTGAATCTCCTTGAGGGGAATGTTAGTGGATGTCATATCTGAATTTGTGGTGTCCTGTCTTATGTTGGTTTGATAGTGTTATGAATTATAGATTCTTATTGATTCTATGTAGAGAAACCAAGGGAAATCTATGTCACATAATGCAGGAAAAACATTATCATATTAAAATCAGAGGAAGGAGGATTTCTTTAATCTACAATTGGCTTTTATAGCTTGTTACAGACTGCAAAATTATGAGTTTAGCAAAGATTACTGAAAAGTTTAAAAATTATTATTATTATTATTTTTTTTGATGTCTGATCTTATTTATTTGTTACTCTTGGAACATCTCATTTTTGACTGGACTCAGACTTAGAAGTAGAAGCTCTCAGAGAGGACAGCCTCCGTCTCTTGGCAATCTGTTCCTGCCGTTTTTCTTTGGCCTCCTTCATTCTCTAGATTGGCATCCACAATGCAACCCCGTACAGATTTGCGCTTTCCCTCTCCAGTCCTCCTTGGTCTGTAAGGAATGCCCCTTACTCAGTAGCAGGCGAACTCGGCCATGGGTCAAGACACCCTGCTTCATGGGGAAACCCTGCTTATCGTTCCCGCCACTGATTCGGACCACATAACCCTTCCATTCTTCACCCAGAGCGTCAGCAGCAACTTCCGTGGCCATACGCTTCTCGTAGAAGGTACGAAGTTTTCGTTCATCGTCCACTTCAGTGAGCTTCTGGCAGCCAGTGTCCGGGAAAGAGATGTTCAGCTTCATTCTGAAGTGGCTGACAGCCTCCGAGGTGCCACGAAAAAGAGACCAAAAAATTATTATTTAAAAGAAATTCAAACTGAAAATTGATTGTGAAACCCAAGTCTTGAAAAAGTAAAAATCATTCTAGTCACTGGAAATAGTTTCTTTTTGAATTTTGTTCTGAAATGATGTAGGTCCAACCATGTCATGCTTGAGGCAAGACAAAACAGCAATGTGAAACAGTGTAGTTCTACAGTATCACAGCTGTATTCACAGGTAGGCAACTCTTGTTAAACCTAATGGTGTGATGAGCAAATTAAATAACAACATGGAAATAAGGTAGAAAGGAGCATATAGAAAGGAATTAAATGTGATAAATGTGTGCTCAGAGAAAGAAAAGGATGACTTACTCTTTAACCAGAAAAATAGCATTATTATCCTGCTACCAAAGTACTTCAGAAAGGAAAAAATACTTAAGCATATACCATTGCAGTTGAATTCTGAACACTGTAATTTATAAGATAAACCTTTCTTGGCAATAACAACAACATAGCCATGCAGGAGACCCCGGTTCGATCCCTGGGTTGGGAAGATCCCCTGGAGAAGGGAAAGGCCACCCGCTCCTGTGATCTTGGGCTTCCCTGATGGTTCAGATAGTGAGGAATCCTCCTGCAGTGCGGGAGACCTGGGTCGATCCCTAGGTTGGGATCTCCCGGAGGAGGGCCTGGCAGCCCACTCCAGTGTTCTTGTCTGGAGAATTGCCGTAGACAGAGGAGCCTGGTAGGCTCCAGTCCACGGGATCCAAAGTGTCAGACGCAACTGAGTGACTAAGCACAGCACAGCACAACATGCTATATATTACATCCCCAGAACTTATTTATCTTGTTACTAGAAGTTTACATCTTTGACCACATACTTTCTTTTTTTCACATGATTCATTTATATGAAATGTCCTGATTAGTCATATTTACACAGATATGGAAACACTCTGGTTGTGAAGAAATAGGAAAGAGGGTAGGATTCGAGCTTGATGGCTGTAGGGCAGAGAGTATCTTTTATTATTATTTTTAATTGGAATATAGTTGGTTTACAGTGTCATGTTAGTTTCAGGTGTAGAGCAAAGGGATTCTGTTAATGTGGTAATTACAATGGCTGCTCTGTGCTTGCCGTATTTTGTTAATCTCTGAAAAACAAACTCACATATGTGGAGGAATAACTACCATCTTTTTTCAGTATGCCATGCTTTTGCGACCTCACAAACTGTATAGACAAAGTAGATGTCAGATCTTTCAGTAAAATCCCTATGAAGTGAAAGTTGGGGTAGGAAGTGACATACCAGGTTATATTTTCTTTTTTATATTATGTTAGAGAAAACAATAGTCATCTCACTGGTTTTCTGCTGAGACAAGTCTAGTGTTTTTACTCTGTCCCTCTTCCTGTCCTACCAGAGAGTGACCAGCTGTGCCAGTCTGTGGCCAGGACCACTGATCGTGGGTGTCCATGTATATGTTGGTGACTGGTGGAGCTCTTCCCACATCAGCAAGAAATGTTTAAGGCACGATAGACTCAGGTGACTTGGCAGGCTGTGAGGTTCTTGAGCCAGATGTGGATGGTTTGCCAGTTTCCTCAGAAACTCACTTGTCTTCCTCAACTTTACTCTGCTTGATCCTAGAGATCTTTGCTGCCATTCTAGTTGAACTTCACTCATCCAATCCAGTACACAGAAAATGAGATATAATTAAAAATCATTAAATATTTAAAACCATAAGATACCCCCATTAAGCTTCTGTAAGATGCAACTGGAGAACAAAATTACAGCTTTAAATCCTTCCTTCTGAGAGTCCAGGCAGTGACAAAGAGAGATATCTGTTATTTCATACTCGATGATGCCCTTAAGTATTCCTTATGCACATATGAAAATAGCAACCTGCGAGAAATTACATTGGTTTCCTAATGTAAATAAAAGTTGGTTACAGCCATGTTTCAAAGGGGGAATTGAAACCCAAGTTTCACTAGAATATTCATTTTTATTCCAACCTAAAACTCACAGCATACAAATAGATGAATTCAGCTTGTGAGAGAGCAAAGCCAATTTAATCTCTGGCTCCCCCGAGGTAAATGTAGTTCACGGTCCTGCCCCCACCCCAACCTCAGCTATAATCCCTGGCTCCTGGAGGTAAAAATGCACTGAAGTGAGGAAAATTCTGCAGCGGGATATAATGATCCAAAATGACAGGGACAATAATGACAATGAATTTCATGTCTCCCAGTCATGAGCTGGAGATGCTTGACTAGGCTGACTTATACAATTAAATTGTTACAGGTACAGCAGGAGATGCAGTTAGCCGTGTGCTTTGGGGAACGATGCCTCTGGCTAAAGGCATATTGTGGAATCCAGACTCTTTTGTTAGGAACAAACTATTATTCCTCTAGGCATGTACCCACAATTGTATACTTTAATAAAAGAAAGCCTGGGTTAAAGACAAGTCTTTTAAGGTGTTGATTTTATCTAGTTTGAAAGCTTTAAAAAAAGGAAAGAAAAATCAATTACCCAGTAACACAAAGGTGATCTTTTTTTTTGGTCTTGTGTTTTCATTTTTATTTCATTTTGTTCTTGGAGCATAAGTCAAACCTAAAGATGGTGCCTTTAATCCTCATTTACATTATTTGCAAACACAGTTGTTGAAC